CCGCCACGACTCCGGAACCGATCCCGAGACACGTCTGTGGTCAAGGGGCGGCCGAGGCAAAAGCGAAGAAGACGTTCAGGGAACGTGGAGGTCACCCTTGCTTCGCACGAAATGGCGGATGACGCCGGTGCCAGCTCTTCTGGGGGCTCTGTTCCACAAAATCGAGAAATCTCTGGTCCTGCAGCAGCTCCCCCTCCACCCACTGCCCACCCCCACCGAAGCTCCGCAGGCTGGAAGACACAAAGCACCAGAATGCCGACGCTGTCGGAGAGAGGGGAAAACAGAGAGTAAGAGGGAAAGGGAAGATGATCCTGTCACTCCCCTGCTCAAAATCCTTCCAGGACTTTCACTACCCCCAAAGCGGGGTCCAAACGCCGCCACAGGACGGAGGACACCAGCCTGGCCCAGAGTGTGGCAGTGCTGCCCACTGCTGCATTAAAGACTTGACCTCAGTGCCCGCCACCCACGAAGGCAGGAGGAGAATGGAAACCCTGGCGCTGGTGCGGTCTCAGTGCATACTCCGGCAGATCATTCTAGAGTCTGTAGCAAGCTAACAACCCTAAAGTCGCCAAAATGAACGCAACACACAGATAAAGTGATGGACTGGGGGGGACCCTCTCTGTCCCAACACATGCAAAGCCACACACAACAGAGTTATACTCTTAACCGCATAACCTGGCTCATGGTTAAAAATAACCCGAAATATATTACAAAACTAGGTCTCTTCAATAGCATGTTATGCCTCGTCTCACTTTGCAGGAGCAAAATTATTTGATTGGTAATTAGTTGATTGGTAATTTTGTCTTAAAATGTCTGTTCTCTTCCCTGATGGAGCCCCCCATTCCATGTGACCTACCTTTGTGCACCAGCACCCCCTCTTCCCTGGCTCTGCCAGGTACCCCCACTGAAGCTGCAGGTCCAGCCCTCCCTGCCTGTGGGTATGGCCGGACCAGCCGGCAATCAGAGATGTGACCCCACGTGGAACTGTGAAGGCTTGTCATGATTTACATCAGAAATGACTCCAGACTCCTGTGCTCAGAAGCAGGGCTTGGAAGGGGCAGGACTGTGGGGTACTACAGCTGACCTACTGTTGGGATGGGGAGTACTGAGGGTGGCTCCCTGGGCCCTAGCTGGGCAGGCGCACCTCCCTTCTTCTCCACTTCCTACCCGCCATGCTCTGAGCAGCTCTCTTCCACCAGGCCCTTCCCCTGCCCCAGTGGTGGGGAAAATGGGGCACATGGTTCACAGAGAACTATGTGTACCATTGAGGGCTCCCCATTGCTGCCCCCGGCCCCTTCTGCCCACCAGCAGCTGAGCCCCTAACAGCCAGGAACCAGAGTAAGCTGTCCTCCTCTCAGTGTCAGGTGTTGTGTCTTAGAGACTAGAAGAGTGACCAGGAAAAGGCTGCTGAGAGCCACTGCCTGCCCCAGGAGGATGGATATCCATCCTTCTTCCCTCTCCCCCCGCTGGTGGGTCACACAGATAGGAGCAGGTGTGAGGTGGCCCCAAGTCTCAGCACCAGGCCCCATGTTCCTGGAAGGCCAAGAGACCTCCATCTAATCTACTGCTCTCAGGCCCGACTGCAGAAGTGCATCCAGCAGGCCCAGTGCTGGAGGCAGTGCGAACCACATGGTGGCTGTTGTCCCCCTGCGCTTGTAGCCACAAGCCCAGACACACCTTGTGGCTTGAAATTAGCTTAAATCTCATTTTCCGCCCCTAGAATGACCTTAAGCTCCAGGGTTAAAAATCAGACATAAGTGAGACTACTTGTTGTTCTTTTTTAATTTTTTTAAAATCACATTAGGATGATCACCGTCTCTTTATTTGACATGCCAAAATCTCACCACAAATACAGTATTAGTTTTGTAAATTAACAGGAGACCATGGCAGCAGAGTGGATAGAAGCCACATTCTTCCTCAATGAGTGAATCAAGTTGCTTCCTTTTCTCCACACTAATTTCTGACAAAGCAAAATGAAAGGAAGCTAATAGAGAAAATTAAGCCAACCCAGCCATTGCCAAGTCCTAGGAGCAGAATGTCCACCAGCAGGGACCCTGCCAACAGCGCCTTCTGATTGACTCTTCAAATTTCATGAAACTGCTGATTTGAGATGCTTGGGATTTACCTTGTGGCACCACCATTATTAGACTTTCTTTTTTTTAATTTTTATTTATTTATTTATGTGTGTGTGTGTGTGTGTGTGTGTGTGTGTGTGTGTGGCCAGCTCAGCCCACCAGGGGGCGGGGCTGGCTGGCATGTGGTGCTGGGGGATTGAACCATGGTCCCTGTGCTTTGCTAAGCTTGTTCTAAATAGGTGCTTTAGACCACTGAGCCATCTCACCAGCCCCATTAGACTTTCAATATCCAGAAACATCTATGAACATAGTTTTCCTAAAAGCAACTTATTTAAAATATTGCATAATTTGGAAACAGACTCCTTAAGATTGAAACTGGGTCAGAAAGGCATCCCTACACTGGTTTTGGTTGATGAATTCTGCAAAATGTTGTCTAGCTGACTCCACCTAGGGTTTTCCCACGGTTTAGAAGCTAGAATCCCGACTCAGGACCCCCGCTGCTTTCCTTTCCACTCAGGTCTGCTAGTGTCCTGCTTTTGTCCTGCAGAGGCAGGAGGCGCCTGCGGGCTGGCTGGCTTCTGCACCCCAGTGGTACTCAGTTGATCAGAGTTCCGTTCCCCATCAATACCGCGAAAGGTGCTGCCATCCCCTGCAGGCCGTCTCAGGCATCTGGTGCTTCAGGAGAGCTGCCTCAGTGCTGTCTATCTCCACTCCTATCACCCCTTCTGCACTCCTTAGTGGATGTACAGAGAACCTTCCCCTCGTCGGCCAATGCCATCGGACTTCCCTGCCACACCAAAAAGCCAAGGTGAGCCCGAGCCCTTCCCCTGTCCTTGCCAGTCTCCCTGCAGCAAGCAAAGCCTGGCTCCCCTTCTCCCAGCCCCCTGGGCCCTGCGTCTGCACACACCCCCGGCAGCCCTACAGACAGGCGCCCCACTCCTGCTTCCTGACTCTACCACACTTCGTGCTCGGGGAGCATGTGCGAGAAAAGCAAAGGCTCAGGCCTGAGTCAGGGCGAATTCCAGTCAAAACCCCGCTTCCCACTTCTCATTCACTGTGCTGCATGGTCACCCTGCTAGCACTCAGCCTCTTTCAAATGCCACCTGGATGCCCGGAACTGTCTTCGCCGGCTTCACTCAGGTGCCTAACACTTCCAACTCATCCTGCACTCTTCCTGGGAAAAACTCATACAAGTCTTACCTGCTTCTCTCAGTTGTCAGCTCATACAATTTAACACACAACATAGTTTCAGAATATTGAGGCAACATGATCTTACCACCTTGGCATGCAGCAGTGAGAACAGGGCCAGTGCTGGCTGCTGTGAAGTGTCCCCACGGCCCTTTCACGTCACCTTGTAGTTGAGACCTGTCTGTGTTTCACACTCACCCACCCGGGGAACGTCTCAGCACAGGACTTCACCTTACTCAGCTTCCTCTCTTCTGGAGCCTGGCATGGCGCCCAGCCCTTGCAGGGGCTGCAGGATCTGGTGAAGGAGACGGGGAGTGCCCTTCCACTGACAGCAGCTGTGCGCTGTGTCCCACATGCGCCAGTCTGTCCTGAACCAGAACCTGGGAAGGGAAATAAGAAAGAAGCCCCTGCCTCCTGCTCGGGACTTGCAGGTCTGGGTCCCTCCAGCTGCACAGGTCCCCAGGGAACCGCAGCTGCCAGAGGGTGCGGTTGTGCAGCACTATAAGGGGCGCCGGTGTAGACAGGAGTGGGGCTCACCTTAGTTCACACTTCCATAACCAGCAGCCTGGGGACATTCAAACACGTCACACATCGTTTCTTTCATTTTGTTATTATTTCAGATTTATGATCCCAACAAGCTTCCCAGAGTAGGACAATGACTAAAACAGATGTAGAAAATCTAGGCACGTGAAGTCCCAGGAATTGATTTCCTTTCATTTTGCCTTACATTGAACAATAACTCTTAAAGCTGGGCCAGAAGCATAGTTCCAGCACAGGCAGTGCCAGAAACTTTTACATGATTTAGGAAACATCTATCGTTTTTATACAACACCTCCTGCAGGAAGGTAGATGGCCACTGTGCAGGCTCGCCTTCAGGCCCTGTACTTTCTACTCTTAACTGCACAGAGACCTTGGTTTCTCCATATGTGCGTCAGTTTAAGTCCTTATTAGGGGCTGGCCAGACAGCACAGTGGACTAAAGCGCCTGCTTAGGCAGAGCACAGTGGCCAGGATTCGTCACTGGCGTGCTTTGCTAGCCCTGCCCCCGGGACATGCTGAGATGGCAATTGAGACTGGGCGTGGTGGCGCATGCCTGTAATCCCAGCCCTTGGGAGGCTGAAGACAAGAGAATCACTGTGAGTCCATCTACGAAGTGAGACTGTGTAGATCCTGTAGACCCTGTCCTAAATACAGAAAAAAAATAAAAATTTTTTTAAAATCCTTAATAAATAAGCTTCAATGCCAGTTTTGGTTGAAAACAAATATTTTTAGCCCTGGTAATGCAAACACATAATATTTCAAATATTGCTTAATCTCTAGCAATTTGGACATATTTATAACACAAAGCTTTGTAGGCCTTAACTTTGCAATGGACAAATAGGTAGCTTACACTTCTGCCTAATATGCTCAGTTGCACAGCAATCCACCCTGCAGCACTCACTGCAGAGCTCTGCACTGGTGCCCAGCTGGTCACTGTGCCCTGTGATGGCCCCGGGCACTGCCTCAGCATCTGACCGAGGCTGGCCTCCCTTCTCCAGATCAGATCTTCCTTACTCAGTCAAAGTAAGGCAAAACGTGCAGCTATCAACAACAACAAAAGTGAGAGAGAGAGATTGGTCAAAAGACTGCGCTATCCCTTAATCCCTGCCCAACTCAAGAGCGAGCTGCTGTGTTTGCTTCTGAAGGGGGAATACGCAGAGGTGTCCAGGCACACGGGTGCGGCTCACACTGCGACACCACCGCCATGGGACCTTGCAGCTCCACGCTCTGCTGAAGGTGGAATTCTCTCAGCCGTTGCTGGGGCCTGGCCCCTCGTCACTAGGGAGGAGGTGGCTGTGATGGCACTGGGCCAGGCATTGATCCTGGTGAAGACAAGGAGTTGTTCTGATGCCCTCCGCCTCCTGTGGGGACACTGGCCCTGCCTGACACCCATCGCTCCACTGAAGCAGCTGGACGGGGAGGAGAAAACAGACCTCCTTTTGTAGAAACATGACAAGCAACTGAGCGTGACTCCTAAACACCATGAAGGTTAGGCAGCAATTAGCTGCAGTCACAGCCTCCTCCGAGCCTGAGCCTGCGTAGGGAAGAGGACTAAGTGAGGAGATCCCACATGACACCTGCCCTTCCCTCCCAGCAGAGGGCAGTTCTCAAAGGGGCGATGAGAGATGCCAGCTTCTCCTCTGATGAGTTATTTGTCCATCTGCTGCTGAGGAAGAAGGAAGAGAGGGTAGAACACTGTGGTGACACAAACTTTGGACATATGCTAAGAAAGATGCATGTTGTGGGATGATCAGACTGCACACCTGGCAAGCCCACAGCTGGCGGCTAGGAGGAGTGTCCACCTGATTGGCTGTGGGACCCCCGGGGAGCAGGGAGCACTCTTCAGGGTGCATCTGCTGGGTCTCAGAGGCCCGGCCTAGGGTCTGTGTCGGCTCCCCTGCCCCTTCCTCTCTGGGGCTGTTCCCCTGCTCTGCTTCCCGGCTGCCGTGAGCTAAGCGGCCTTGCTCTGCCCGACCCCTCCGCCATGGTGTTCAGGCCTCGCAGCCAGCTGATGGCGGGAGCCTAGCTCTGCTCCCGTGAGTGGTGGGTGTTGGGTACTGCATCCAGCAGTGGGAAGGGAGGCCAGCCCACAGCCGAGCAACACTGTTCATTAAATACATTTCAACATAGATTTCATATGGTGTCCTCATAGAATTTTAAAAATACCCTGGGGTCACACTGTGACCCTGTCCTTACACCCAATGCCTTCGGATGCAACGTCACTGCTGGGACAGTCAGCTCCCTGTTGAAGGGCAGAAAGCCTGCTGTTTCTGCTCATGAGCCTCCCTCTTTCCATGGGAGAAGTCCTCAGAGTCACGTGTTACAGTTGGAAGGTTGGGTGGCAGGGCACATCCTCACAGCTGGCCAGCAGA